TCTGTGGACATGGCCTTTTAATATTCTTTTTATTATTTTTTTTCACTATTCATTATTTGTAAAATGGTGAGCAGGTGTTATGAGTAAAGCTTACACTGTGGGGGATACCTGGTAATTCTTGTTTGCTGCCTTGAGGAAATTATCTTTGGAGAGATAAGATCAACATGTATTAGAATTTTACTGGTCATATGAATTAAACGACAAAAAACACAGAAATAAATTGCAAGTGCCCAATAAACTTAAGGCATTATATATGGAGAAAACTCCTGGAACCTAATTCAGTAGATTAGAGAGTTTCATGGAGAAGGATGAAAATGAGGTGTGCCTCAGATGACACTGAGGAGTTGTAGCAAGGAGGCTAGGTGGCATCTTTGCAATTGTACTAACACAGGAATAAATTCAGTATTTTCTGAGAGCAAGTATACCGGTTGGACTGAAGAACAGGAGGCAGGTTCATTTGAAGGACAGTTGAGGATGAGAGGACAAAGTGGGTTCAGATTATGGGAGTCTATTTGATAAACCTTTGGAGCTGTACTTGAGGATGTGACTGGTTCTGTATGTTGAGAATCCTGAGCTGGGGCTGGAGACTGTGAGATTTAGAATTTAGAGTTTAGAATTTGGAGAGCATGATGAGTGTAGTTAGGGTGACCAACTGTCCTAGCTTGCCCCCGACTCTTTCAGCTTGAGCTTTGAAAGCCTCATGTCTTGGGAAACCCAAGTCACAGACAAAGCAGATGGCTTGTCACTTTTAGGTATAGTTCAGATATAGTTTAGTATGTTAACAAGTGAACAGAGTGTGACAATCAGAAATCCAAAGCAGTTCAGAGCTCTGGTAGGCAGGCAGTGGAATTTAATTATATTTTGGCTGAGGGCAGTTTGGCCACATGGAATTTGGTCAAAAACAGCAATGTCAAAGCAACGTTATGTGGCAGTGGGTTGAAATAAATTTTGAAAAAAAAATATTTTAACCACTGGCTTTCAAGTTTTGCATAGTTATAATAGTAATGATAATAATATCTGCTACCATTCATAAATGCTTATCATTTATGCCAGGCACCTTACTATGTTTTACAAATATTTTCACTTTTATCCTTACAATTAACCTATGACTTAGGAATTATTTTCTCCATTTTACAAATGAAGAAACTGGTGATTCTAGAAATTAAGCTTTTTTGCACAGTCATACAGCTAATTAATTAATCATAGAAAGAGACTTTGAACCCTGGCCAGCCCAAAAAAGCCTGTGCTCTTAGTCATTATGCAGCACTGCTTTCTGTTATCAAGGAACCAGGTTTGTTTATTATTTATTATTTTATTTTACTACAAAAGTAACACTTACTGATTCTATGGACTAGCAGAAGAGATTCTGCAAAATACTTAGAATTACCTCTACTTAGAAACAAGTTCTGTGAAACATGTTTGTTGATATATTTTTCTTTTTGGGGCACATTATCTATCTACCTATCTATCTATATATTTATCTAACTATATTGATACATATATGACATGTTATTTTATAGAAATTACATTTGGTAAATTTTGAAACCAATTATTAGGCATTTATTTTTTTCCAATTTATATTATTGGACATGTAGGCTGCAACATTTTGATGGTATAAACAGCTTACAGTAGAAATAATTAGCTGAGGGGCATCTGGATGGCTCAGTCTTTTGAGAGTTCAACTTTTGATTTTGGCTCAGGTCATGCTCTCACAGTTTGTGAGTTCAAGCCCTGTGCAGAGACCACTTGGGATTCTCTGTCTCCCTCTCTCTCTGCCCCTCCTCAACTGTATCTCTAAATAGATAGATTAGATAGATAGATAGATAGATAGATAGATAAATAAACTTTAAAATAAGAATTAGCTGAAAATAATATACAAATAAATAAAGCAAAATGAAACAAGACTAAAAAACAAAAATTCAAGAGCTGAATAATAATTGTAAAACCACTCACTCTATGTTGTATCCCAACACAATGAAAACCACTGGCTGAGGAATATTTGCTTTTGAACAGATCATCATGTTGAACAGCCTTCTTGCAGCTAACAGGTTTTCAGCAAAATCACCTGGAGCCCATAACAGGAACCATAAGCAGGACCCCAGAACCCAGGCAGAGTCAGGGAAGGCACTAACCCCTAAAATGTAAGGAGTTACTCTCTTACAGAAGGAACTGTATTCAGGGGAAAAAGCCACAAACCTGAAGATGGGAAATAAGAGCTGTAATAAGAAGTAAAATTCAGGATCAAAATATTAAAACAGTCATCAAAGCTGGAGCACAAGGTTAGAATCCCAGGACTTTGAGTCAATACCCTTTAAGTCCTTCTTGCCAAAGGGCAGGCAATTGGGGCTGGGGTGAGCCTACAGGTAAGGAATTTTGGAGTTCAAGAGAACTCCAGAGATTAGGAATCTGGCAGGGTCTGCCAATGGGAAGTTTTGAAGAGAATAATATAATGAAAAGTTGTGATTGACTTAGTGAAGTGTAGGCAAGGAACAATTTAAGAGGATACTTCTTAAAACTATTGTGGTAGCAAATTGGCTAGGCACTGGTAAGAATTATATAATAAAGCTATCTAGAATTAAATAAGTAGATTGGAGTAATACCATGACATTCCTTTTACCATATTTTTGGCATATAGACAAAACATGTAGTTGGTCCTTGTTGGGTATAATGCTATTGCTTTTATTAAGTCAAGGTTTTAACTGGTATATTAAAATTTTCTTTTCTTATGGAGCCCCTGAATGGCATGCTGTGTCTTATGACTGAAGTTTAAGTTAATGTTATCATGTTTTAAAATTAAAAATGACTTTTTCTTGGTGCTATGAAGGCCATCACAAAATTGATTATTAATATTCTGGAAAGATGCTTCAATTAAATTTCTTGGATATTGATCAGATAAGCACTAAGATTTATGATTGTGTTCTGAAATCTTCATTAGGTGAGTCCTTTGTTGCTTTTGGAAACTATTAACAAGTGGTTTCCAAACCCTGGAAATTACCACTTCTGAGTTCATTTAAAAAGAGACCTCTCTTTTGCTGAATGTCTGCATAGTTTTTGTTGGTTGGTTTGTTTATTTTCTTGCACAAAGAGTAACAATTGAACAGAAGTTAATTGTGTTCTTAATTAGAAATCACTTTAGGTTTCTGGAGGTTTGAAGTTACAAAAATTGCAAGGATGCTGTAAATATAGAAACTTCCTTTAATTAACTGTAGCTGATGGTTAGATTTGCTTCAGTGCTTTGAACTTTTGAATCAAACCTTTCTTGCCCAATAACGACGAATTTAATCATTTTTGTCTTTTCCATGGAATTTTCTAATATATATATATATATATATATATATATATATATACACACCATTTTAAAGATTACAAAGATTCTGTTTGTTGTAAAAAACAAAACAAAACAAAACAAAACCTGAAACAGTGGACTATAAACTACTCTTTCTCCCAGCCTCCAAATGATAACTGTATAATAGTTTGCTGCATCTTTTCCCAGCTTTTCACAGGGGTTCTGCTTGTGTGTACATAATATACACATACACACATACAGATGTTACACATTCCTCGTCCTCCAGTTTCCCTTCTCCAGCTCACCTTCTCCCTTCCCCCTCCTCCTCTGTCTCCTCCGGCTTAACGCAAGTGCTGTGGTGATAATGCCAGAGAGAAGGCTTTGTTCTATGTTCTCTCCCTTACTAAATTTCACTCCTTGGTGGAGCTCACTGTCCTTGTCCTCTTCTCCCCTTGCCTACCATCAAGGTTCAATAAATTCGGACTATGTTTTGCTTCTCTTTATCCTCAGCAGCCAAAGTAGGAGCCGTCCCAGAACAAATCCTCAGCTATGTAAGAGCAATTCTGGGTGTTTCTCTTGGGGACAGCGAGCTAAGCAGCCCCAGTTCTGGCTTCCCTGGTGATTGGCCGAAGGCCCAGAGGGGCTTTTTGTACCAGTTCATTCCAAGTGTGAAGTTCCTCTGGGGTTTCCTTGGGAAGTAGGTTCTTCTTTGTAGTATTTTTCTTGTGTCTGTTATGGGTTGAGATTTCTTCTGCAGTAATTATCTATCATTTCAAACCTGATTTCTAATCTCCTAGAATTTTCTGCAGAATTTTTTTGTGTTGTTAGTGGAACTTGTTTTCTTTTCTTCTCTCTTCTGTCATTTTAGTGGGATTTAGGTACACATGATGATTCAGTTAATACTTTGAACTTCCCAGGTGCCTGGTTGTTTTTTCTTTTTTTTATCTTTTCTTTTTTTAAGTTTATTTATTTATTTTGAGAGGGAGAGAGCATGAGTGGGGCAAGGACAGAGAGAGAGAGAGAGAGAGAGAGAGAGAGAGAGAGAGAGAGAATCCCAAACAGGCTCTGCACTGTCAGCGCAGAGACTGACTCAGGGCTCAGATCCGTGAATCATGAGATCATGACCTGAGTTGAAATCAAGAGTTGGACATTTAACTGACTGAGCCACCCAGGTGCCCCACCTGGTCTTTTTTTTTCTATTTCTGGTCTAGGGTTTTGGAAGTTCTTTCAGGGTTTGTTTGCAGTTCCTATGGCTTATAACTTGAAAGTTTTTTTTTTTCTTCCAGTTTTGGATTTAATATTAATCATAGTTAGATCATTGATATCTCATTGCTCTCTGTGCAGAAATAACACCATTACTTAACAGACTTCTTTCTGCTGCATTTACAGGCATCCCCAAAATGTTATGACATTAGGCAAATTAACAATGTGAAATTCACTTTTAGTAATTTAAGTATGCTTTCATTTGATATATATAAATGTCACTATCTGTAATATATATTTGTACTTTATTTTCTGGGTGACTGAATACTGTCAGTTTCCTTTTTCAGTATCTGGATCTGTTGGAGATATAAAAAAAAAAGAATAGTAATTTTTAATGGGAACCTGGTACTCAGTGTATCTTAAAATTATTTAATTATTAAATGGTTCAACATTTTTTAAATTATTGAGATATATTTGTAATACAATAGCATATTTTTTAATTTTGTCTCAGGAAGGAGAAAACATTTTCTATTTGGCAATTGAAGACATAGAAACAGATACAGAACTTCTGATTGGCTACCTGGACAGTGACATGGAGGCTGATGAGGAAGAACAGCAAATTATAACAATGATCAAAGAAGGGGAAGTTAAAAATTCTAAAGGACAATCAACAGCTGGCATAAAAGGTATTGCCTCTAATTGGTGATCTGAGACCATAGAAGTTGTAGAAGAAATATAGTTTGAACTGCAGTTGACTTATAGTTGTGTTATAATAAGGTGTTCTCAAAATAAAGTTAGCTTTTGTGAAAACTACTCTCAGAGAGTAGCCAGCTGTAAGCACATCTTTCTTCTAGCAGAAGGAGAACGCTGGGTGTGGGTGATCCATGTGCCCTGTAGAGCTGCCAAGGTCAGCACCAGCTCCTGACTCTCACTGCTCTCACTGGTACAGTGGGTTGGCTAGGAATGAGGAGTTTTGTGTTCCAGCCCCGCGTCTGCCACTCATCAGTCTTGTACCGGGCAAGTCACTAACTCTTTGAGACTTTACTTTCTCATCTGCACATGGGGAAAGGCAAGTGCAGAGGTGTGCAGAGGGTACTGCTGGACCCTAATGGACTCTTCCTGGGCCTCCCTCTTGTTTGAGATCCTTTGAGAATCTGGAGCTTCTGGAAATCTCTTTCTGTTCTGAGCATAGAAGCCTGTAGGATTGTTAGGTTGTTCTAGTTGGGTAACCAAAAATGTGTGTTGACGGGAGGTCTGATCTGCTTAGATCAATCCTGTAATCCAGGAGATGTCGCTTGTTTGCCATCTACTGGGGAATAATCAATTATTATTGGGGCTTGTTTCTATTTTATTGTGTTTTACTCCTGATGGGATTTGAAGGAAATATGAATGATGTTAAAGGTATTCATGTTTTGTAATAGATTGAAATTTACCATAGAGTATTTTTTTCATTTTCTTTAGCAAATCTGCTTCAAGAAGTGACACTGATTTCTTTAGTCACCATGGTAGTAATATCTTTCATATGAATTTTCTACTCCAACTATATGTCACTGGCTGAGAAAGTATAAGCATTCCTAGCATTGCTAGCTTATGCTTCTGTTTCTTTATTTCAGTTGGATTATTTAAGGGAAAGATGAGGACAGGCTTTCTGTTCTTTCAAATATGTATTTTGCTGTTTCAAATTTCAGACTTTGGGTAATAGGTATTATTTTTGTATTATTCTGTATTTTCTTTTTGGGGAATATTTATTTATGTGAATTACAATATTATTGACTACATTCCCTATGCTATACTTTTTGTATTTATTTTTTAAGGTCCCTCCCCCCACCTCCAGGGCATATTATTACTGTGTCCACTATTTTAGCTTAAAAATGGGTCTCCTGCTTATTTATTATCACCCTGATTTTTCTTTAGTTAACAAATATCAAATTGCAAATTGTTTTTACTTTTGTAAAAATAACCAATAGAAACTTAAACAGATTTTGAAAACATATGAATCAGGTACATACATTATTGCTATTTTTATTTTAGAAATCAGTTGTTATTTAATAAAAGCACCCCTTCCCCCAAAAAAGGCCAGAACACAAACAGAGCAACCAAACCACCAGCAAAAAAAAAAAAACAAATAATCCACTCCAATGTCAAACAATGGAGAGCTTAGTAAATAATTATGTTTTTTTTATTTGACTTGGGAAAATGTTAAATGGAAAAAAAGAGCAACAGATGAAATTGAATACAAAGTATGATCATAAATGTAGTTATTCTTAGACTATAAAATATGAATGGACAAAAGGCAAATCAGGCTTGAGAATATATTAAGTGGTTGTCTCTTCATTGTGGGATTATTGGTAATTTTTATTTTCTTCATATTCCCTGAATTTTCTAAATCTAATCTTATTTAATAATCAGAAAAAAAATGTGATGTAAATAGTGCACTTTGAGAAATTTCGGTGGATCCATGACAGTCCTTAGGGACTGACAAGCCAGAGAGACCATGGAATCTCATGACACCTGCTGTAATGAGTTCTGTCTTTATGGCCTCAGTCTCTTTCACATGTACGTGAGATTCCCCTTAGTAATTCCACATAGTTTTGCCTTGGTTGGATTTTTTCTCTTTGTGAACTCAGTGAACTCAAGATGACCTGTTTCAGGGAAAAGTTTTGCTTTCTCATTCCACATTTGCAATAACTCTTTCATGTGAAAAGTTAGCATTATAGGGTAAATTAAAAATTGATTTTGATTTTGTATTAATTTGCTGAAACACCAATGAAGTGAATTAAAAGATAAGGTACTTCTAGTAACACTTCCTATTATTTTTCATGGACAACATTAATAATACTCAGAGAGATAATACGAATTTATTCTTCTGATACTATTAAACACAATTTTGATTTTAAAATGAGGATAAAACTGAACAGTTCTTGGCTCTTAATTTTTGTCTTATAAATTTGCTTCCTTGTAAATGTACAGATTGCCTTGGCTGTAAAGAGGACTATGCTTGTCCCCAGTGTGACTCGAGTTTTACCAGTGAGGAAATTCTTGCTGAGCACCTTCAGACATTGCACCAGAAACCTACAGAGGAGAAAGAATTTAAGTGCAAGAACTGTGGGAAGAAATTCCCAGTTAAGCAGGCTTTGCAAAGACAGTGCGTACAGCAAAGAATATCTTTAAAATTATAAGCTAACACTTTTGTTTTTAACTATTCTATTTGATTTGTTTTATACGTGTGTGTGTGTGGGTGTGTGTGTGTGTGGGTATCAGTGATGGAGACGGGGTGGGGAGGAAGAAAGTAAGCATTCTATATTGTCATTGTCATTAACTTATCTTTTCTTAGTATAACATGGTGATTTTTGAAACATTCTGATTATGAACTTCCAACAAGTAAACATTATTTATGCTAATAAGTCTTTGTCCATTTATTTACTTGCCATTAAATATCAAATCAAGCCCATTGATTTACTATTCAGAAATTCATTTATGCATAATTTAGTGCTCTGAGATCACAGATCAAGTTTCAGTTGTCTGCATTTGATATTCCCTCTGGAATCAGTGAAAGAAGAGTTTTAAGAAATGAAGAGAGTTTAGAGAATAAAGAATACGGGGACACTTGGGGAAGCACTGTTTATTTCTTAGCAACTTAGGAGGAATAATTTAAAGATGAATAGATATAGGCTGTCACATGAAGATGAATTAAATGATCCCACACATTGCTCGGTACCCTTTATTATTTTGACTCTTTATATTAACAGCATATAAATTTATCTTTTTACTTAAATATTTTACAGGATTATTAATTATTAAAAGTGAGAAATTAGATACGGATATTTTTTATTTTAAGAATGTCACCTTGTATATGAGCAAGAAAGCTTTCATGTTTACTATTTTAATATATGCATCTACTTTTGCATATGAAATTTGAAATGAAAAATTTCTGCTCAAAACTTAAAAAAATTATAATAGCAAGAGATTAAGCATTTGGAAATTTTGTTATAGGCTCTTGAAAAAAAAAACAAGCCAGGGCTATATACTTTTTAGAGACTAGATGTTAAAACTGCATTCTAGTCAGCTTTTATTGAGTCTACACCAAAGATACTTTTGCTTAGCCGGGTCTTATAGTTAAATTAGGTACTACCAAAAATTAAAGGGACAAAAAACAAAATGAAAACAGAGATCACCAACAGGATTTTATTTAAAGTAGAGATATTTTTCATAAGTTTTTGTCTTACACATCCAGTTTTTATTTCTTTTTGTTTTTTTTCTATTTCCCCCTCAGCGTTCTTCAGTGCACAGCAAAAAGCAGTCTGAAGGATTCTTCACGAAGTTTTCAGTGCTCTGTTTGCAATTCTTCCTTCAATTCAGCATCGAGGTTTTGTGTCTGAGTTATCACATGGCTGTTATATAATTGTGGGTCATTTTTGGCAGGCATGCTTTTTATGCTTCTTAGTGATTATCACATGGCTACAAGATAAGTGCTTTCCTTTTTACCTGCCCAGGTAATGCATGAAATGACCCAGAAACTCTACTAGAGAGCATGCATTGCAAAAGCCTGCTGTGCTGTTAGACTTCATAAGATATGTCTTCACCATTTCTTCTCCCTGTTCCCCTCTCCTGGTTGTTTTGTAGTTTTGAGCAGCACCAGGAGACTTGCCGGGGAGATGCCAGGTTTGTGTGCAAGGCCGACAGCTGTGGAAAGAGGCTGAAGAGCAAGGATGCCCTCAGAAGACACCAGGAAAATGTCCATGCTGGTGAGAAATCACTGGAGGGTCATTTTTAAAGGGGCTTCCTCTCCCCAGGCTGCTGTGATCTGTTTTTAATTCTTGCTCTTGAGGAGAGAGCTTGCTTTGACATTATGCTCACACAGATGTGGAGCTCTTGCAGTGGACTTTTTTCTTTCTCTGAGCACCATTTCTTTTTTAAGTTGATTTCAGCAGTATTTTTCATTTTTCGGATATCTGAATTAATCATAACTGGAAACCTAAGCTAGAATCTACTTGAGCTTGGTAGTCAGGCGTATTAAAAGTTAATGTTTTTAAATAACAATTTAAGTGTGAAATATGAAATTTCTCTTTTAGTAGATACGTTTTAAAACTATTAAATGATGCTCTTGTGCCTTAAAGTTTTGTAGTAAAAATCTATTTTTTAAATTTATATTTCTCCCATATTGGAGAAAATTACTGCATTTTGACATGGGAATTTAATGTATCGGGATTAATAAAGCAGATATTATTTGAATTCCTTCTAATGGCCAGCTAAACAATAAAACCCATATAAAATTTGACTGTCACTTAGATTTTATCTGTTTAGCACATGGTAAATGTATTTTGGTTTAGGGATCGAATCTGTTACACGGAGTTGAACAGATGGCTGTATCGTCAGAGTTAACTTTTCACTTCCTCAGTGTCTTTTCCTTAAGAGAGGCTGAGGCTCATGGAACTCCTCATATGCTTCTGTGCCTATGCTTTTCGCACATGTTTACATTTGCGCTTCGCTTCTGGGAAATGTGTGGAAAGATGTCTTTCTGGACATGAGGAAAGTGGATTTCTCTTCTCCCATCTTGTTTATTCCCACATTCAGAACAGGATAATCAGTACTCAGCTTCTGTATCCTATGTTTGTTCATTGTCCAAAAAGTATCTCCTTTACTGTTAAAGTTATAGCAGCTAATATGAGTGTGTCTACTGCCTCCTATTTTGCATCATTGCTTGGACTACATATTTAGGGTAAGCTGTCTATGAAAGTTCTGGGTGGTAGAAAGTATGGCCATGCAAAATACAGCTTCAGGATGATTATCAATAGGACTTTACATTGTTCTGATTTCTTTCTTTCCTTTTGAAGAATATATGGCTGATTTAGGGAGGATGGCATTTTCCTGAATTCATTAAACTTGGGCCTTCACTATGCTTACAAAAGGCAAGCATAACTTTTTGATAGACCTGTCTTCATAGTTTTTTTTTTTTAAGCTGTTCTGTTTAAAATGCTGTTCTTAATTTTCTCCATCTTTGTCTGCAATGTATTATAACAAATCTTTCATGTCATTTTTAAAGTTAACTTTGCTGAACTAAGTAAAAAACCAGATGCATACTGAAACTCTGGAAACTTGCATTCTTTTTATTTGGGCATGTGGTCTTCAGGCTGTGCTATAAGCATAATTTCTGTGAGGCTTCTTGTAATTGGCCTTGGATATTATAATATTACTGATTCTGGAAACTCATGTTGACTTTGTAGGAAATAATTTATAAAAGGAAGTTTTTTTTTTTTTTTTTTTTTTTTTTTTTTTTTTCTTTTTCTGTGTTGTGGAAACATACAAAATATGGAATGTAGAATATTAGCCAAAGGTCACTATGCACAATTTTTGTTGAGATTGGTATACAATCTGTCTTTCATTCATAGCCCCTCTTTTGTCTCTCCCTTTTCTTCTATGAGATACGTAGACATTTGGAGAAAGAATATTCCACATCAGAACAGCAAGCAAAGCAGTGTTCACACATATGATTGTAGAATCTTCTATACCTGAATGCACACTTAACCCACATTGTACTGAAACTTGTGGTACTTGGGTGACTGTGTATTCAGTAGGGTTGTGTTAATTTTTCATACATCTCCTACTATTGTAAATAATGTGTTCCTGAATAGTTTTGAAAGTTGAATCTGAAAGTAAAAAAAAAAAAAAAAAAATCAGACTTACCTGAATATAGCAAAACTAAAATAGTATAAAGTCTAGTTATGGCTTTGTAGATACTGTTGTCCTTCAACCTAGGGAAGCTGGTAGAGTGATGACGACCTTCATAGTTACCCAAGAGGAAACAGAGAATGAAGGGCCTGACTTCCTTAACCCACTTCCATTTTTTTCTTTTGTTTAGAGTCTATGGATGCTAAAACCAAGAAATTTTGTATTTGTGGGAGATAACATTTGTCTGCACTCTCGGACGAATTGTTATAAATTTTTAAAATATTTTTTTTTCTTCGGGCTCCAGGGTGTCATAGTTGGTTAGGCATATAGCTCTTGATTTCGGCTCAGGTCATGATCTCATGGTTGTGAGATAGAGCCCTGCAGAGCATGGAGCCTGCTTGACATTCTGTCCCTTCCTCTTCCTCTGTCCTTCCTTCTGTCCCTCCCTTGCTTGCATGTGCTCACTCTCTCACTCTCTCAAAAAAAAAAAAAAA